TGTATGCACTTGCAATTGAAAAGGTTTACTCGCTATTTCACTTAACACTAGATAATCATGCTACTTGCTAGGTGTTACCATGATTTGTGGGTTCTTGAAATTAGGAAGTTAATTTCAAGAATATAAATTAATTAGATTAATTTAAATTACAAATGAGTTGTAAACCCACTACTAGTGTTAATAGTGAACCTAAAAGGGTCACACCATATTTTGGATGATGACATTTTAAAATTGGTATTTCCAATAGTTGGATTAATTGACAAGACTTAATTAAATAATTTGATTATTTAATTAAATCTAATTTTGATTAGATGTCAATTAAAGGAATAATATAAATTAATCAATTGGATTGATTAATTGGGCTTTGGATATTAATTATGTAATTATTAGAATTACTAAATTAATAGTTGGATTTTAAAGTAAGACTTTAAAATACAAATCCAAATATTAATATGATTAATAAGTTAAAGCCTATAATAGAGAGGATATATTTTTTGATTTACGGGAGACAAGATTTTGACCATCTAATTTTGAAAGTTAGTTTCCTGATTAAAGGTCATTATCTTTAATTATTTTTTAATTAAGATTAAAGAATAAAATAAAAAAAAGGAGTTTTGAGGGTGTGGGTTTGTTAGCCGCCACACTACACCCTAAACATTTATTTATTATATATGATATATGTTTAGCTCTCCCAAGTTAAGTTTTATGCTTTCACGATAAGCACACGGCTTGTTTCTCTTTTGCGAAAAGGAAATTAAAAAAACAAAGAACTCTCCTCTTTTATTTTGATTCCAAATACCAATTCAAGTACCGGGCAATTCTACTAGCAAAGATATTGATCCTAGAGTCGGAATCCAAAAGGTGGACTTGCTTAGAGGAGAGACACGTGGATCCCTATGGCGAGACGAGAAGACGGTGATAGCCACATACCCGGGAACTGATTCCCTCATCATCGTCGCTATCTGAAGAACATAAAGGTAATTTTTCGAAATTACCTACAAATCAAAAGTTGTACTATTACGTGATTTTAAACGATGCTAATCGATACAATCGCTATGTGAGCCGACAGGTTTAGTATTTATTCGATAAGTGCTTATTTATTTTGCTTTATTCTGCTGCGTTTGACCCCGTGCGGTATAGCGAATCCAACAAATACAAAGAACGCCTTAATCATTTTCACGTTTCACAAACTCAGTCAATTCATTTCAAAGTAGACTCAAGGCAAATTCTAACTGAATAAATTTCGTACCAACATATCACAAGAAACAAGTATGGCTCAAGCCTCACAAGGTAGATAATGTTCATCAAAACAACCAAGCAATTCATCGAGATATGCCACCAATTCTCATCATCACAACTACTCAACTCAATTGACAGTCATTAACCAATCTTGCCATACACCATAGTCCAAGCTCAAAAAGACAGAACAAAATCCTAAAACTAGACCGGTCCACCACATAAGCATGCAAAATCCAAATAGACTCCCCCACACTTAGAATGAGGCAATGACCTCATTGCTTCAACACAAAACCGGAAGTCACATAATAGGACCTAGCATTTTCATAGAATGAACTAAACT